TCCACGTAAATATGAATATTCCAAAGTTGTTAGTGCTCTAAGTGGAAATTGCTGTCTTTATGCTAGCCACTTGGGGCAAATCTCTTAAATTGGAATAACAATTGGGAGCAGCATGGGGCAGTTAGCAACTTTGCAACTTAAGTGCTGCATCCTCCAGACTGTGCCTGAAAGCATGCAACAGAAAGTTGCACAATCTGGAGGGCATCAGCGGGGCCATAGAGCTTGCCCTCGTTAATTTGTTTGCACTCATATTTTAGGTGCCTTAAACTTGGTCCAACCTGCCGTTTTCGGCTTAACTGACCCATCATCATGCCGCATTCTCGGCGCGTGTAACGCATGCAAATCCCATGGCCCAGCCAACGTGAGTGCGAAAGAGCGCGGTGAGTGGCGCCCAGTTGACAATGCCGGCCAATTGTGGGTGCACTCAGAGAAATTGAGGGCACTTCATGGTAACACAAATGGTGTACATAAAAGCAAAGCTGGATAACACATTTTCTCGTGCAAAACAATATCTCTTTCTATACCAAAAATAAGCGAAAAACCTTTAAAGCTTTAAAAAATATCTGAAGTTGAAAAGAATGCATTTACTACAATATCAAAGTAGAATGCAAAAATTACTTAAATATTTGTATACCTGAATATTTCGAACCATGCTTCGTTAAAATCTCTACAAATATCTACGATACTTATCTGAATCTCCAGCTTACTCACTGTATTGTATCGAAAATGCCCGTGTTCCTAGTCATTCCACATTTTTCCGAGTACAGATGTGGGCGAAAGCAGAGGTAAAGGCTCGCTTGTGCACGCCACTGACCGCAGAGCAAATTGTGCAGCAGTTTATTCCATCGGAGATGCCCGAGATGCAGCTCGTTGTGGGACGGAGGAGGAGGATGTTGAGCGGAGGATGCAGGATGCAGGATGGCAGGCTGGTTCCTGAATGCCGGCTACTGGATGCGGGCTAACAGCAGAACGAGCTCTGCGCCGGCTGTGGTTCCATTTGTAGGATGATGTGTTTGATTCCGCCACCGGTCCTCCGGTTTCGCCATTCCATTGGCGATGCATACATGGCAGGCGCCCCCGCCTTTTGGTTCGGTGCAGTTCAGTGGAGCTCAGCTCATTTCTGCAGCCATTGTGCAGGACAAACAAATGGCATTGCAAACATTTTCCCATGTCGCCCGGCCAGCGGTTGCCCCGCACATCTCCCCCCTCGGGTGTCTTCTTTGGCCCAGTTACATCCTGGTATTACTTACCATGGTAACAGATTAGATTTTGTGGTTAACAAAATGTTTGGCCACAAAGTCTTTCAAATGAAAATTCAATGTGAGCCACTCTTAAATAAGCTGGAATTGCAAAGGGCTTACGGATGATGATGATGCATGCATATTTGTGGCTTTGCATATTCTGGGGCTGTTTAAAGATGTGGGAGTGGCTGTGCATGAAGGGGCTTTAGCTTTAATTTGACTTAGCTTTGAATTTTACTAACTGGAATTAAATACTTGTGAGTCCTAATTGAATTTTCTTAAGGCATATATGCTAATTCTATACTGAACATCCATAAACAATCTTTTGAACCAGGGACTGTAAATAACCAATATAGATCTGCACTTTGAATAAAAAGTCACCCACTACACCATAGTGATTCTCTTTCATAAGTCTATCCCTTTTCATCATGATTTCTAAATTTTTAATTATAAAGATGGTATTATTTATCGTCATCAGGGATAAGACAAGGTAGGAATACTCATAGATTTAATGAAAAAAGTATCTGCTCCATTCTCTTAAATTGTCATTAGGAGCACGCTTGGCCAGGTATGTCCTCGGATGAGTCTCGCTCCCACTGTTTCATTCGTTTCCTGTCCACCTGGAGGCAGGTCCTCTGATTGCTTACACTCCTGTGGCACTAAGCACACCCACACACGCACATATGGCGTGGGATACATATATAATCCATTATAAAACTGTTTACATAAGGTTTCTTTAAATTGGTTTATTGTTGTGGCGTAGGTTCGGTTTTTTGTTGGAGAAGGGTGCTGGGATGGCCGGGCGGACAACTGCTAAGCCCTTAAAGCAGCAAACTACACAACCGCACGAAGGACCCTGGGATGGATTCCGATTCCAGGAGCCAGGAGCTCAGGGCAACCGTTGTCCACAGCATGTGTGGCCTCTAAGCGCCTGCCATTAATAATGCAATTGTCGGGATTGCTGATAAATTGCTGTGGTTTGACAATTTGCACAGCACAACCGCAAAGGAAAAATTACAAAAATATAAAAAACAAATCGGGAAAAAACTGGAAAATAAACAAAACAAATTGGCGAGATGGAAAAATAGAAGCTCTTTGACAACTCCATTTGGGTTGCGTAATAAAATCAAATTATAACATTCTGCAATGCCAATGTATACATTTTATTATTTGTGTTAGCTTGATTCGTTTTCGTTTGGCAAATAAAACGCAATTGCAATTTCGGTAATTGGCGGTTCCACATGACGTATGCGCGATGCCTCCGTATACGTCAATTTAAATTGATCTGCGTTAGAGCCAAATTAATAGAAATGATTGTGAATGTATTATGAGCACGAAGGGGGTGTGGCTCACCCCTTCTGCAACGCCCCCAACTGAACAATTAGCGAAAGTCAATGTGCCAAATTGAATATTCATAGTGGTGGAAATATTTGCATGCACAACGTTGCGTATGAGCAATAAAAATGTCACGCACAAGTTGAGTTATAATTCCGGAATTTGTACGACGGGGAGGAATTTACGGATTAATGCGAATGGGGGGGGGGGGGTCCAGGCGAATTGAAAACGTTAATTGAATTTTCCAACGTTTGCTGACGATAATGATGCGCATGATGTTCCCCATAAACAAGCGGAGCGAGAACAAATATAAATTATACAGCTGACTGCCATGTGGAAGCTCTGCATATCCTGGAACTACTAAAAAAAACTTTAAAAAGTTTTGAAATCATTCGGTCTTTCTTTTAACAGTAACTTTATTATACATTATTATTATTCATTAAATATTTGACTGGTTCCTATAAAAGTGCAATGGTTAAAAGTTTATGGAGATGTTATTATTGTTATACATTAAATATTATATAGGTTTCGAAAAGAATTCAGTGGTTACAAGCTTATAGAGATATTTTTATTGTTATTCATTAAATATTAGACTGGTTCTTATAACAGTGCAATGGCTAAAAGTTTATAGAGATATTATATGGATTCCTATAACAATGCAGTGGTTAAAAGTTTATAGAGATATTTTTATTGTTATTCATAAAATATTAGACCGGTTCTTATAACAGAGCACTGGCTAAGAGTTTATAGAGATATTATTATTGTTACTTAATACACTATTTATTAAATGTTAGAATGGTTCCAATATCAGTGTAATGATAAAGAATAATAACAGGCTTAAATGATACCCTCATTCCAATTATAGAGCAGTGGTAAAAAGAGACAGATAGAAAAGTGATAGAAAATAATTATACAATGAAATTCCAGAGAGTGCCACAGAAAAGATTAGATACTATCCTTACCTTATAGGGTTCCCCCGGACAGAATCCCTAATCCTGCTCTCACCTCATCATGCTCCCTGCTACCCTGCAGCTAATTAGTACAAGAGGACGCTCCCGTCCAATCTTATTACGCTGCGCACTCCCCAACCCCTCGATCCCAATCAGGACCCAATGTCAAAGACAAGACCAGGTAATGTCACTGATTACGATTACTGTGTTGGACTTATCGCATTCGGTACGTTCCTTCTCCGCGTGAACTATGCGTTGCGGGGCTCCCCGAAGTATGCTAAGCATTTCAGAAATTGAAATTTATAAAACGGCTAAGACGCAAAACCTTGGCAGCCAGCGAGTCAGCCAGCCAAATGTAATGGCAAGCGGGATTTTCCCCAGTCAATGGCTTCAATTTGCTTTTACGAGACTGGAGGAGGAAGGCCCGTAAACTATTTTCCCGGGAGGAAGTGTCCCGTGGAATGCCAGCAATCTCGGCTGTGTTTGCAGCATCATTTCTGAAAATGTAATTGCCGCAATTACCGTAAATTTCTGTTCTGAATTGTTGTCGCATTAAAGTTAATTTCGTCTGTCTCTTGTTTTGCCACTATTTCGGAATTGGAAAGTGGCAACTTTCCCTTTTTGGTCGAATCAAAACACATTTGTCGCCAATCAAGCGTCACCGGCCTGTTGCACATAGCCCCAAAAAGGAGTTTTTTTCTCTTAGTTATCCTGGGGCTCTCTTCAATTTACCCCTAAGAGAGCCTAGTTTTTGACCAATTTTTGGCTGAATCGCGATTCCGGCTTTGTCCATTATGCTAAGTGCGCCAGCTACACTTTGAAGCTGCCAATGTCTTTGCCTTTCCCTGCTGTTTATGCTAAGCACCTGCACATTAGGCCGTTGATGGTTATTAGGCGAAAGCAGTTGGCCCCCAACCTTGGCCAGGTGTTTTGGGGCTCGAGCTGGGGAAAGAACAGCAAGAATGGGGGAAAGGTGGCAAAGAGATTGCACTTTTTTCGCCGTAATGGAATTAGAAAGGACTCTCGGATATGAGGCCCAGGATGCAGGCTGTCAGCGATGCTAATTGGATCCCTCTTAATTGGATTAACGAGCAGGATGGGTAATCAAGTCGATTTCTAAGGAAACCCTATGACGGAAAGCCCTTAAAGAAGTATGTGTCGTAGGGCACATGTGGGGAAATTAAGCTGGTGAAGGAAAAGTCGTTAACTTTGCCTATAAAAAGTGTTCAGTTTGCCCCAGAAACTTAAGAGAATTTAAATGCGTTTATAATATTTATGAAATTTTTTTTAATGGATCTCATCAAAAGCTGTCTAAAATATACTAGTTATTTAAGCTTTTAAAGAAAAGATTATGGCAGCTCAGTGGCTTCAATTTCCAATAGATTTGATGCCCAAAGTGTATTGTAACAAATAAATGTGCAGAAAACCAATTCAACTGTTGATTCATTTATTTCTTTAAAAAAATAGAGAACAATTTGTATTTTACTCCCAGCCTCAAATCAAATATTGAATGCATAAGGGTTTCTTTATTTCTTCGGGCGAATACAGGCGGTGTGATTGGCCTGCTCCGAAACAATTGCCTTCACTTGATGACTGAGAAAGCCAGACAAGCCACAATTTGTTTTGCACTATTTGAGTTAAGCATCTCCATTGCAAACAGCTCGTTGTTCGGGCCAAGACAAAGTTGCGCCTTCTCCCTTTGTTTTGCGTAGATACGTGTGAAATGAAAAGTTTCTCAGGCCAAAATCACGAACGTAAATCAGTTAACTTGTAAACAACACACAGGGAACACACACACCTTCGTTCTGGCTGGATGTTATCTCAAAAAACTTTCGCACGTCTCCTGTCACCTCATTTGCAAAATTGAAAGCCAAAACTTGGGCGAAAAGTTGGCAAGGAAGCCGAGGGATGTAGGTCCTTTCACATCCCCGGCTTGCCTAGCATGTTGTCTTCGGGCTCTTGTTTGATGTAAAATAAATTGACATTTAGTTGCCGATGTACCCACGGCACTTTCCCTCGCTTCCCGTTAAATCCAGATTTTGCCAAGGCAATTTCTGGCTGCAAGTGTCAGAACGTGTTAATAGATTTCCAGCGTTGTCGGGTCTGTGGAAATATTTAGTTGCATATTTAAATTCACATCGTAGCTGGAGGAGTCCAGGAACCCTTGTTCACATGGCACCCTACCTGCTGCAGATACGGCTGGATGTTGACACATTTCGGGTTACCTTGGCAACTGTTTCTTGATGTATGTTGCCACATGGACCTGGCCCCCGGTGGCTTTGCTCCGGCTTTGCTCCGGCTTTCCTTGATTTTCCCCTAACACACTCCTTTCAGGACTCTAACTGCTGCCGATTCACCTGATTGCATATCTGTGAAACAACATCGACAGCATGCTTTGCTTTCATTTAGCAGAAAGCGCCTTGTGGGAAATGTTTGTTGTCGTCGGAGACGCCTTTCAATATGCATTGCATTTGCATTTCTAATTTCTTTTCCTGCCAGAAGCGTTGCGATGTTGATCGAGCAGGAGTCGGGTGGGGATATATAGCAGGTAAGTGTGGCTACAGGCCTTGTGACTCGGGTTTCGCAGAGCAGGTAATTTCATTAAACTAGGAGGAACTAAAGTTTGATTGAGTAATTATTAACCACTGAGATTTTACTAGCCTTAGTGCAGTTGGTTTGTGAGGAGTTGAATAACTCCCCACAAATAGAAGCAGCAGCAGATGGCCGGCCGCTTACCAGATACGCGGCGAATTTGCGTAGTAACGGCGCGGCGGGGAGAACGAGAGAGTTTGGAGACCAAGGGTGGAGATCGAGAGAGTTTGGAGACCAACGAAGGAGAGCGAGAGAGTTTGGAGACCAATGAAGGAGAACGAGAGAGATTGGAGACCAAGGATGGAGAGCGAGAGAGTTTGGAGACCAATGAAGGAGAGCGAGAGAGATTGGAGACCAGGGATGGAGATCGAGAGAGAATGGAGACTTCGCGGGCAGAGCAAGAGTGCCGTATGCAGAAGAGGATAACGGAACTCCACGGGACTTTGGACTCTCCCGTGAACTTTGGACCGGGAGAGGAAGTGCCACATCTCGGCAGTGGAGCGGCACACAGGCGTGCCACAAGCGGCACGGGAATCAGCGGAACGGCAGCAATGGGCAGAACATCTATTGGAAGCGGTACATAAAGGACAAGTGGGTCATCCAGGAGGCACGGACTTTGGACCCAAAGTGGAGAGATCCAGCGGGCCGTGCGCAAAAGGGGAATAACGGTGCTTGGAGGCCCTATATAAGGCCGCAGAGCGCTGGCAGCTGGATCAGTCGATTAAGAGGAGTCAAACCTTCAAGATCAGTCAAAGTACCAAGTGAGCAATCAGTCAAGCAAGTAATCTACGAGGGAGCTACAACCAAGCGAGTCGTCGGAAGCAGCGCCGTGGGAAGCATAGAAGGAGCAAGATCGCCACGTCGAGACGTTCGGGATTAGGACATCAGGAATCTCCGAATTGAGACACAGGTGGCTGAGTTCTGAAAGGCATCACGCGGCTAAGTCAAGGCGTTTGTTTTCTAACTTTGTCACGACCACACCCTGGCGAGTCGCCCGGCGGGTCTGTCAGAGACAAGCAAAAGAGTCCTACGACGAAGAGCCGTCAGCTTGGGGAGGAAAGTTGTCTGCGACCCAGCGTACCTTGCCCGACCAAGCAGGACCTGGCGTGACGGACGAGCGGTAGATCGATTTGCGGTTTCGAAAGGCGTCAGCCTGGAGAGCCCTGCGATTACCGGCGAAGTTCCCGAGCAGCGACCGCACAGCTCCCCGAGCGCCAGAACAACGAGATACTGGCCAGAAGACAGCGCAGAGGACATCGACAGCGACGCCAGCAGACATTTCCGGCAGCCACGTTACCATCGCCGCGCGGAGCTCATTGGGGAGCGCAGGAGCGTCGCGGACGTCACGCATTAGGGTGAAGCCGGGTGGAACGTTCGTCTGCGCTAGGCGTAAAGCGAAGTGAACCGCTAGGCAGTCTTGACTGTCAGCGCGAACTGAGCAAGAACCTAGCGGGACCGTCCGGGACAGAGCAAGGGACAGTATTGCCTCGAAAGGCGTCAGCCTGGAGAGCAAGGCTTGTTCACCCTAGTCTGAGAACGGTGACGCTTCCCTAAGCCCACAAGGCCGAATTCTCTGCGGGTCTAAGGCGCGACAAGCGACCCCGAGGCAACGCGTCGGCAAGCAAGCAGAGGCGGCCACCACGAGCGTCCCGAGACCCAGGATCCAGAGGAGGACGAGTCAACGCGTCGAGAAGCCAGAAGGAGGAGCACCAGCAGCCGGCGGAACCAGAACAAGGAGACACAGAAACCAGCATAGCCACACACCCGCTGTACCAATACCACGAGAATAAATCCCACTGTTACCATTTGAACACTTTGTTTTCTCACTGATCTACGGGCAATCACGTCATATAAATTTGGTGGGACGAACACACAATCTTCTGAGCTAGCCGCACGAATCTCGTAGCGAGCAGACATACAAAATCAGTTCGTTACATCTGGCGCCCAACGTGATTGTCCCAACAGTGAGAACAGCACAGTAAAAATGGGAAAGAAGTGGATTTACCGCCTCAAGAAGGAAGACTTCGCCCATGTCGCACAGAGGCTCAACGTCGCCCTGGAGGGCAGGCTAGACGACATGAGGAAGGCACTATCGGAATACTACTCCGAAACAGAGAACGATCCACAACTCGTCGACATCTGGGCCGAGCTAGAGGCGACATACTACGACAGAGCCGGCCCAAGCATTACGTTAACGAACGCTGAAGGGGACAACCTGGTGGCAAGCCTGAGCGTTGACAACATACAGAAAGAGGCCCACAGGAGAGAATCAAGCCAAGAAAAGAAAGCAGCAGCGCTGATCCCGAGACCAAGCCAGTCGGACTATGCAAAGGTCGCTAAGCAGGTCCGCGAATGGTCGTTCAGGTTCGACGGGGCGGAAAAACCATTCGAGTTCCTGGAGCAGGTAGAATGGTCCGCCAACACGTACGGTTTGGAGCTCGATATGATCCCTCGAGCGATGCCGGAGTTGCTAAAAGGAAGGGCTTTGAAATGGTTCATCGCCAACAATAAGCAGTGGAGAACTTGGGCAGAATTCATTGAAAGTTTCCACACATATTTCCTGCCAAGAGATTTCTTCACCAGGCTGGCGGACCAGGTCCGGCAAAGGAAGCAAGGCTTCAGCGAGTCGTTCAAGGACTACATGATCGACATGCAGACGATGGTGAGGCCACTTAATTACTCCCCTAAAGAGACCCTAAGGACCATCAAGGAAAACTGCACCCCTAGTCTAAGGATCTTCCTAAGGGCATACAAAGTGTCGGACCTGGACACGCTAATGATCCTAGCCGATGAGTACGAAGAACTGGAAAAGGAACGGGAAGTCTTCGCACAGGAGAACAAGTTCTCAAAGACAAAGTCGGCGTCACCAACACAGGTGACATGCAGGAGATGCGAGGAGGAAGATAACCAGGACACACGAGGAAACGACCAATGGTCACCACCACACCAAGCCAGACGACAGCAGGCAACAGACGCACCACGCGGAGGCCATTGGGCACCACCCCCACAGCAACAGAGACAGCCAAACAATACCTTGTGGAGGCCACCAAGCAACACACAGAGGCCACAAGATGCCACCCATATCACAGACCCGCAGGAGGCCTGTCGGAAATGCGGTGGGAACGGACACTGGGCTAGAGGATGTCGTAACCAGCGGCTGCTGTTTTGCTGGATATGCGGCAAGGTTGGTGTTAGGAGCGTCGATTGCTGCCAACGATCGGGAAATGGCCAGCGATCTCAGCCGCAGAGAGGCGAGCGGGGATCGCACAATGCCACCTCTCCAAACTAACGGGCGAGCTAATCGAGGAGGAGCAGCAGTTGTCCGCAGCTGTGATGATTGGTGGGAAAAGCTACAAAGCCACAATCGACACCGGAGCAACGGCAAGCTTCGTTAGCGAAGAATTGGCGGACAATATTGCTGCTCTAGGAAAGATTACAAGGACGAGACGGCAAGTTAGGTTGGCAGATGGAAGGTGCGGCGGAATTAATGCGCAGCTCGAGGTGGAGGTCAAATTCGGCAACAAACAAGTGACCATGAGCCTGTTGATTTTACCCGGGGTAGTGGATCCATTAGTGTTGGGATGGAACTTCCTGAAACAAGTCGGAACCGAGATAAGGTGTGCTGGACACGAAATAATAATACCAGCCAGGAACCGACACAATGGATGGCTCGAGGAAAAGCTATCAGTAGCAGTCGTTCAACAAGTAAACGAGTTGGACGATACTACAGCGTTCCTTGAAACAGAGCTGGCAGACTTCAGCACAATGTCGGGAACATCGAATATGGCAGAACACCAGATCAAAATGAAGGACGACAAGCCAATCAAGCAGAGATACTACCCAAAGAACCCAAAAATTCAAGGGGAAATCAACGCAAAGGTGGACGAGCTTCTCCAAATGGGGTTCATAGAGCATTCAAAGAGCCCATACAGCTCCCCCATCGTGATGGTGAAAAAGAAGACAGGCAAGTGGAGACTGTGTGTCGACTTCAGGCAGATCAACGCGAAGTCAGTGAAGGATGCCTACCCAATGCCCCGCATAAACTACATCCTAGATCAACTAAGAGAAGCGCGGTACATCAGCAGTTTGGACCTGAAGGATGGATACTGGCAGATCCCACTAGAAGAAAGTAGCAGGCAATATACAGCATTTACGGTACCAGGCAAAGGTCTGTTTCAGTGGAGGGTAATGCCGTTCGGACTTCACTCGGCGTCGGCAACGTTTCAGCGAGTCTTGGACCAAGTAATCGGCCCCGAGATGTCACCTCACGCATTCGCTTACCAGGATGACATAATAGTGATCGGTCGCACGCTGGAAGAACACAAAAGAAACCTGAAGGAAGTGTTCCGGCGTCTAAAGGAGGCAAATCTGAGGCTGAATCCAGAAAAATGCCAATTCTTCAAAAAGGAGCTGCTGTACCTGGGTCATCGAGTGACTAGCGAGGGAATAGGAACAGATCCAGAAAAAGTAGCCGCCATCGCCGAACTAGAACCGCCATCGACTGTCAAAGAGCTCCGGCAATACCTAGGAGTAGCGTCGTGGTACCGCCGGTTTGTACCAGATTTTTCCAGAATCGTCAAACCCCTGAACGACCTGCTGCGCAAAGGCAGTAAGTGGGAGTGGACACCAGAGCACCAGATGGCGTTTGAGGAGGTTAAGGCAAGACTCGTGGCAGATCCAGTGCTAGCATGCCCGGACTTCAGTAGAACTTTCATCCTGCAAACGGACGCCAGCGACTACGGCATCGGAGCGATACTGACCCAGGACACCGAAAAGGGCGAAAGAGTAATCTCCTACTCGAGCCGAACACTGAACGGCGCGGAGAAGAACTACTCGACAACGGAGAAGGAGTGCTTGGCGATCGTCTGGGCGATCCGGAAGCTCAGGCCATATCTGGAAGGTTACCACTTTAAGGTAGTAACCGACCACATGGCCCTGAAGTGGCTCAACAGCATCGAAAGCCCTTCAGGAAGGATCGCCAGATGGGCCCTGGAGCTACAACAGTACGACTTTGAGATAGCGTACAGAAAGGGCCAGCTAAACGTGGTGGCCGACGCATTATCAAGACAACCACTACCAGAGACGCTACGAGGAGTAAAAGAGGCATCGGCAACAATAACCTCAGGAGAGTGCAGCTGGATCAAGGAC